TTTCAATTGCAAAATGTGTGCAAAAAAATTTGTATTTTTATTATAAATATATTTTATGTAATCATATAAATTAAAAACAAATATGATTATATAAATATATTGGAGAGAGATTTGATTTATTGAAGAATGATTTTAAGAAATTTTTTTGATGTAATAAATATTTGTTTCCATATTTCCGATTTGCGTCTGATTTAATTATAAAATTTACTTTTAAGTTTTGTTATTTATTCTAATAGGAAGAGTTTGAGTATGCAAATATTAGAAAAATAAAATGTTATAACCCAAAATAGATTTTTGTACAAAATGTACTTCAAAAATGTTAAGATAGATAACTACCCATGTCGGATCAAATACAAATCCTGAGGACGTATTGAATCTTTCTTTTTTTTTTTGGATAAAAACATATTATTTTGGTGGGCACCTGAATCTTTGAGCCCATTAAATTATCATCCAATGATTGAGTCCCTCCACTGCTTCTACATCGGCGCACCCAGAGATAGAGGCTCAAGTATCTGACGAAACCCTGACAAGCTCGTGTCTTATATCCCGATGAAGCAGGTACATAGTGTACTGAATATATGGTTAGCTCAAGTTTCTTAGATATTACTGATCATACTATTTTGCAAATCGAATGAATATATGGTTGTTAATATTCTATTAGACCTTAAGCTCTTTCAAATTATATTGTGGAACCATATAAGTATCAGTTGTCCAACATTATGACCTCTATTAGTTACAAAAAAAAAAGTCAAAACTTAGAGCAATATATATAATTAGGATTCAGAATTAGGAAAACCTTTGGAGAACAGAGTCGACGCATGTTGCATTTAGAACATATTGAACTGCTATGAAATTCCTTTTAAAAGTGAATTATTTCATCTTCATTTGTTCCATCTCTCTCTTGTTTGTTCCTGTGTTAACCATGATACTCACAAAGCATCATGTAATTTCAAGCTCTAGTATACAATATTTATTAACTGTTTTGCCTTAGCTACTCATACTGATATTGTTAATTATAGTATATGTCTAGAGTTTTTCCTTATCTAAGCTTGTTTAGTTTTGACAGATTAGGAAAGTGTTTAAAGAATTTTTATCTCTGACGTACGTACCTTTAGCAATCATATTTTGTTGCCTATAGAATATTCATATGAAAAAAAAGTATTTCTTATGAAGAAGTAACCGTCAAGGGAGACATAAAGGATCGGTACTTTAATCTCTCCCCTATCCTAAAAATCCATTAAGAAAACAATAACATACAAAAAAGCAACTTCTTTAATTTCATCCTCAAAACTTGTCTCTAATAGTTTTAACAACTCAACAATAAAAACAAAGAATTAGACATCTAGAGCTCGTCGTGAGACTCATCTTCCTCCTCAGTCGGTGACTCTCCGCCTGCACCTGGTGCTCCGCCTGATCTCTGGTAAACTGCTGTGATGATTGGGTTACACACTGCTTCTACCTCCTTGAGCTTCTCATCGTACTCTTCTTTCTCTGAGTTTTGGTTCTCGTCGAGCCACTCCAAGGCTTCCTTGGTTGCTGCTTCGATCTTCTCCTTCTCATCACCTTCCAATTTATCTGCAAGCTTGTCCTTGTCATTCACTTGGTTCTTCATGTTGTACACGTATGTCTCCAAGGCATTTCTGGCGTCAATTCTCTCCTTCACCTTCTTGTCCTCCTCTGCAAACTCCTCAGCCTCCTTCACCATCCGGTCAATCTCTTCTTGGCTCAAACGACCCTTCTCGTTTGTGATTGTAATCTTCTCTGATTTACCACTCGCTTTGTCCTCTGCCTTAACGTTAAGAATACCGTTGGCGTCCACTTCGAATGTGACCTCGATTTGAGGGGTTCCTCTGTCAAAAGGAGAATGATGATTACTTTGAAGTTCAACTAAGAATACAGTTACAAAAGGTTAAAAGAAG